TTTGAAACTTGTGTTTCATCTGCTGTCACAAGCTTTTTCATAAAAAGCTCGGATATATTCAGTTGTCTTAAGTCCCAGCTTTATTCGGAAGGACACCCGACGCTTCTCGGCGTCCAAGGTGGGGTAATCACCACGCGGGGACCGGATTCACGTAGAACTATGAGCGTCTCGTTCGCACGAGGAAGATACCACGGCCAATGCGGTTCTCTTCCATGTGGCGCGGAACCGGTGCATCACCTCTCGACTGGCTCAACGGCTCAGCGTTACGGCCCAGTAAAGGAGCGCAATCTGTGACGAGCTGATACACTCCACCATTAACGGCTGCCACGAGGGTTATACGCGCGACTCAGTGGCCTATGACGGACTGGCGTGGCTTTATAAAACACGGGTTGGAAAGCGACCGGGAAATGTTGTGATGCAACAACGCCGCGCGACGTAGAGCGCGAAGCAAACAATCAGAACCCTCCACCGTGCACATGTCATGCTGATTTTTCGGCGTCCGATGCTTAGCAGGGGGCCCTCGCTGTGACCGTTGCCAGCTGCACGTGTTGCACGTGCAGCACGTGCGGATGCCACGGACGCAGGCACGGCCAATACCGTCGAGCGGCTGATGTCGTGCACCTGCAGCGAGGCCGCTGCTCCACTGAGGAGAGACAGTACGGGATCGATCACTCGTCAAGGACGTGCCCGTACCACGCGCCCACGAGCCATGCTGGTGCACCCAACGGCCGGAGTGGTTTGGAGGTCCCCTCTGGTCGATGGTTACGCCCACCGCTAGCATTTGACGATTACTCGCCGGCGCGTCCGGCAATGTCGCTTATAAACCAGCCTCGAAGGCATCTTCAGCTACCCACCTAGCACTGAAATGACGGCAGTGCTAAACAGCGCCCTCTTGTGCACACACTGAATAAGTTTACCCCACCTTGGCTCTAGTTAGTTACATAGGAATTTCTTCTATCGATGTATATGTCTTTCTTTCGGGAAGACCTTCGCCCATTCCCCGCAAAATGTCTTCAAAGTGGTGGCTTTGGCATGGAACCTGCGGCAGCCTCTTTTAACTATCACACAGCAGCACTATATCGGTACCCCATACAATAGCGTCTGACCCAAGCGAGTCGTGACAGGTCTAAAAATGTCGACATTTCCCTGTCACGCGTTTCGTCCTAAGTGTATTCCCACTATAAACTTGGTACTGGATTGAAAATGCGTAGGAGTTATCGCAAAAAACACCACAGGACGTGGCGAACCGAAGGTTGAGTCAACTTGAAGTGGTGTCACGTTCGCTTAGACTGCCAGAAGTAACTGCATGCTCTTGGTCACGAATAGAGCAACATGCTTGGAGGTAGAATTCAGGGCGGAACAAATCTGTGACGATGTAAGTGAAGGTGGTAGCAGTTAAGATCAAGACAATGTTCCGGTTCATCACGTCAAGTGGGTTTTTTCCCATTTGAGCTCCATACTAGATAAACTGTCGTTTTGGAATAAATTTTGAATTCTGGTTCTCACGATGGAATGAGGTACGACAGATTTTCGATGGCCTTAACCCCTTTGAGGATAAATGTGGTTTAGAGCTCCATGCACGATAGATGGCAGTAGAGCCATTTGTATAACTTCAGGCTGGTTTTTTTCGTTCGTTCGATTTCGCAGCACGCTGGTTTCTCCCTACATTATCAACGAAATCTGGGCGATTATTTTAGGGTGAGTGGTTAAAGAATTTGTCGACACAGTATGCACCTCCAGTTCCAACGTATGAGGGGGGAGGGGCTTTGATATCCCTTTGCAACATGACCCCCGAGCCTTTGGCACTCTGCTCTCTTAGTCCTAGTCTCATTGCGCTATACAGTCGCCGACGGTCCTTAAATGGATCGCGCGATAACGTGTGTCGCGTTTCCTTGTGTAATGAAGAGGAAATTTCAGGACTTTCTTTGCCACTTGCCAGTCTGCGTCACGGTGCGTGCGTAGCTGGAATTTTAGGTGAGCCGAAAGTCTTCGCGACGAAGCTCTATAGTGAAGGAAAGTCCATTTTAGCCGCCTTTCCCGATATAATGATTGCTTCCTTAACCTGCAAGGGGATCAGCACCCTTGTGGCACCTGAATTTTCTCAATTTTTGCCTAATTATTTTTCCGAAACTTAGTTATCAGCATGCTCTGGTCTCAAAATTGGAGTTCATGGATATTAATTTTTTCTTTAAAAGATCTTTACTCTAAAAATTAATGTAAAATCTTATCATTGTTAAACGGAAAATCTTCACGTTTTCACATGTGCCAAATACCTGCTTTCCATAGCTAACGGGCGCGATCCATCGCTAACAAATAGTGTCCCCGTCTTCAGAAGTGCTTGGTATTTGGCACGAAAGAGCCGAGCACTACCGTCTTTAGATAACCCCGCTATGGCGCACCAGTGGACCATCGGGAAACTGATGAATGTTAAGATATCACCAACGGAGTGCCGGCTGGGCCGCGTCACGCCAGACGCACACGTCTTGCCTGCGGTGGCTGGCGCGCGGCAGGGATCTCCTCTGGTGTCGTTCACCGATGAAGCCCGACCGATCCCCTTCCTGCACTTTATTGGGGAATATGTGGCTTGGTGGCGTGTGATTGTGTGGTCAGGCTAGGTTGGGTCGGATGTGAAAGTCTCCCTCGTTACACATTTTGACCTTACGAACATATCTGCTGCTGAGAAAAGGATTTCCTGCTTTCAGGAACAATCTCGGCTTAAGAGCTTCCGTAGCATGTCCCACCGATATCAAAGCTCCGGCGGCTCAGCAGTAGTTGGACCCGAGAACCTTTATAACATATCACCCTTCATTGAACTAATTAAACAACGGTTCCAAATCGGATTTCCTGCACTGAACGTGGCCTTCGTCGGTACTTACTTTTAATGGCCGGTTAAATGCGAGGAGCTCCGCTCCTTGAAGTAATTGAGCTCCGGATGTATGGCGTTTTGTGGTAACTGCACGAGGCGCTATCCCGTCGCCATTACCTTTAAAACTACCGCGACACTGATGGCTACCATTAGTAGTGTTAGTTTTATGCCTGCAATGACATCAAACTTGAGCGCACCTGCTTTGAAGCCTTCCCTTCAGCGTACCTGCTCTGAACCCTTCCCTTCAGCGCACCTGCTCTGAACTCTTCCTTTCAGCGCACCTGCTCTGAACTCTTCCTTTCAGCGCACCTGCTCTGAACTCTTCCTTTCAGCGCACCTGCTCTGAACCCTTCCCTTCAGCGCACCTGCTCTGAACCCTTCCCTTCAGCGCACCTGCTCTGAACCCTTCCCTTCAGCGCACCTGCTCTGAACCCTTCCCTTCAGCGCACCTGCTCTGAACCCTTCCCTTCAGCGCACCTGCTCTGAACCCTTCCCTTCAGCGTACCTGCTCTGAACCCTTCCCTTCAGTATACCCGCCTGAGACCCTCCCTTCAGCGCTCACCGTCTACAAAGCCGTCTGCTTCCAGCTTCGTATCTTCTTCATGCGAGATCGATAACTGAATGCGTCGTTTCCCTGAGGTGGTGCCGAGGGCATCTATAGAGACACACTGCAACTTCGATTGGACCTGTAAGATAAAAACAGTGTAAAATTTGTACGGGTTCCTAAGGCACATTAAGCTCATTTGATACAGTCAAATGACTGACCCCTCCACTCGGTGGTGTTAGCCTAGAGCATACTCCCCATTACCTCTGGTTCCTGTCGTACCGGACATTGCCCACTGTCCATAGACGAATGCCTTCTTACCGTCTTAGCTCTGCAGCTGCTCTGGATACTGGTTATCCCTATAGCTGTAATTTCTGGTAGCGTTCACAGACGAACAATAAGCATCTGTTGTCGGTCCTGGCCTATGTAACTCCCTGTGACTCCTAGAACTGATCTGTGCGACTTCTAGCTCCCTCGCATCGTTCACGGTGCAGCTTTCTGCTCGGCTCGTTGTGTTGTTAACACGCTGCGTGTGTACCAACAAGTGGCATGAAATCGCTGTTGCCAGCGCCCGCGGCGCAATCTACTGTATAGTTCAATGTGTAAGCGACAGCACCGAGTTATGGTCTCCCTCTCACCTATTGTGCTGTCTCGCCGTCGTGCGCTGCTGACCCTGTGTGTTATGGCGTCCCTTGTACAATCCGCCGTGGCTTTCACTGACGAACGGCATGCTGTTGCGCCGGTCCGTCTTAGCTGTATAGTTTTTGATGCGGTGTACTGGCTATTCCCGCCCATTGTGGAAGCTTTTACACGGTTCACTGTGCTGGCGCTGATACTGCCCACCTTTAAAAAAACAAGCTGTCGATTGTACTGCTCTCTTTTCTGTCACTTTCGCTGCAACTTTCTGGCACTTACTGCTGTCCGCAACCAAAGATGTCTGCTGCCGCCCCTGACATTGTCTACTACCCACAGTGCTGCCCCCGGCATAGTTTCATGCGCCAGCGATGTCACAGCGCCGGGCTCTCCCTGTTCCTTTTCGATGGGACAGTCGGTACTAGCCTGCTACTACCACTGGCACTAACTGCTCTCCACAGCTGCTGCCCTTGGTGCTGTCCGCTGCCCACAGCCGAGGGTTATGCGGTTGCTCCCCCTGTCACGTGCGCTGTTCTTCCTGTCACGTGTGCTGCTCCTCCTATCACGTGCGCTGCTCCTCCTGTCACGTGTGCTGCTCCTCCTGTCACGTGTGCTGCTCCTCCTGTCACGTGTGCTGCTCCTCCTGTCACGTGTGCTGCTCCTCCTGTCGCGTGTGCTGCTCCTCATGTCACGTGTGCTGCTCCTCCTGTTACGCGTGCTGCTCCTCCTGTCACGTGTGCTGCTCCTCCTGTCGCGTGTGCTTCTCCTCATGTCACGTGTGCTGCTCCTCCTGTCACGTGTGCTGCTCCTCCTGTCACGTGTGCTGCTCCTCCTGTCACGTGTGCTGCTCCTCCTGTCACGTGCGCTGCTCCTCCTGTCACGTGTGCTGCTCCTCCTGTCACGTTTGCTGCTCCTCCTGCCACGTGCGCTGTGCCTGAAGCTGCTCTCTGTCCGCAGTCGATCGGTATGCGGCTGCTGCTGGCGCTGGTGCTGGCCGCGGTGCTCACGCTGCAGTGCTGGGTGGCCGCCTCCGATGGCAGGGCCGGCCGCTCGGCAGTCGGCACCGACGTTCTCTCCGGAGAGCTCGACTCTTACCTCAGCGACCTGAAGGACTTCTACACCAAGCTAGGCCGGCCGCGGTACGTCGCCCGGTGCCACGTAACGGCCCTTCCAGAGGCGGATCCAGAGAATGATTGGGAAAAGGGGCGTTGCAACTTTGGGAACACGATCTAACCAAGTAAAAAAAAACTTCGTCTGGCGTCAGTTAGGCTCTTGCGTCTTCAGTTATACCCTTTTAACCATATATTATGTTAACGCCTTAAAGATACGAAGAGCCCAACACATACCACCATGAGACGCCAGATGCCTCGATGCCGTCTAGCGTTCACGTCTCTTTGCAGATATGTTCACAAAGCTACGCCTTGTTCAAAAGCTCTTTATGTTGAACAACTCCAGTTGGAATAAGCTAGGTGCGTCACATTAACCGCACCTGGAGGCTGAGAGAGCAGTTCGGTAACAACAAAACTCGGAGGCGATTTCAGTCTTTTTTTAAAAAATAATCGTGAATACCAATCATGGTCTGAGACATCATCAATCGTCGCGGTTCCTGATGGTGATGCTTCACTCCTGAACGTACGAGGCTCTCTTTTAAGGTTTGTTTTAAGTGATATGTCGCATACCCATTATTTTGCGATAGGTCGGAAGTGCGTTATGTTGTGCTTGCACAATTTGCCCCAAAACCAGGCATGGAGTACTTCTATATCGAAGAAAGAAGTTAGCTGGACTTGTCCATGATTGTGACACGCTGGCTTGCGTGAGCACTTCTTTCATTACCAACTTATAGGTATCAGTGCCATGGCTTCCGCGACTCGGAGTACTCCAAGTCTGACTTGTTGCCCGCGCACGCAAGTCTTATTCTGTCACTGTTGACCTTAATATCGGTATGTGTAGGCAGCGCCCTCGTCAACGAAGAAATTCAAGTTTGGCACATGTAGTTACTAGCTTTTAAGTCTGCTGATTGGGAAGACCGCGTGGGAGAGGGGTGCAACTTATTGCGGCGTCCCGAACACTATACCTCGTAGCAAGGCGACAGTGGCAGAGCGGTGCCCGAGGGGTGCAACTTATTACGGCGTCCCGTACACTATAGCTCGTAGCAAGGTGACAGTGGCAGAGCGGTGCCAGTTTTGATCGGCCTCACATGCGAGGCGGCAGATCTCGCCACCTCGATCTCATCTCAACCACAAAACAATTCGGCGGCCACAAATTTCGGCACGCTCCCGCAGGCTACATCAACCGCACACGGCTGCCGATCACAAAAGTACGCACCCTGGCATGACCCCATGTTGCCACGCGGCCTTGGGCCAATGACACAATTCATTTGACTACTGCACCCGATAAGCGAATTCTGCAGAGACCCGACCAATTACAGGCGGGACGTGCCACGCGCTGTTGATCGATTCGAAACTGACTCGAGAGCCGGGGCCTTTCCCACGGAGCCGGCGCACCAGCTGATGCCGATCGTGCCGCGGTCTATCTGCGCCTTTCGGCCCGACGTGCTCGGAAGCTATGTCACACACTGGCGCACACATCGTACGTGCGAGCACGCTTGCACACGCGCACACGCGTGCTTACGTAAGCATGCGCATACGCGCACACACACAAGCAAGCAAGCATTGGATTCCGAACGTTTTGGAGCGACCGCTGTGCATCAAAAAGCGTTTTGCAAGGCATCCTTTTATCTCTCTTGATGGTGTGTATGCACCTTGAACTGAATTAATCAAATACATGCGAATACAATACAATACAGCAAACCGACGAAAACCGGCAAATACAGCGAATGCAATACAGCAAGCCGACGAAAACCAGCAAATACAGCGAATGCAATACAGCAGACCAACCAATCTACCGTTGCAGTTGTTCTCGGGCCATGACCTCACCTTTGATTTAGCCTTGCCAACGCGCAGACTCCTGGCATCCCATATAACTTGGTAAAGTCTCGTTCGATGGACATGGGCACAGCATGATTGAGCATGAACCTGTTTGAAAAAGGTAGCGTCATAGTTTCGCGAAAGATACGACCCGACAGAGACAACTATCTTTGCAACTACCGCGGAAACGCGATATATTGATCCCAGGAGCCACTAAAAATTTCCGTCAGATACGGTTTGTTCATCTGACAGATCTTACGACGTATTGACCATGACCTCTTATGGAATTTATGAAGTTCTGCTCCCCGGAGACAGAGCACAATCGAGGAAGCAACTGATAACAACTCGATCATGATGAAGCCATCATCGTCGAACATTGCATGCGATTGACTTGTCAGGCATTGGGCCAGTGCAGTTGATAGCCGAGTTCACACAGCATAGCAAACCAAAGTGATGCCAGATTGGCACGAAACCCCGGCAAGCAAAGCCTTCGAGCTGACCAGCGTTAGCGTGCCGTAACGGGAAAGATACCTTATGTAACGTATAGTTTCAACTTATTCACGTCGTTCTCAAATACCTGTGACTAGCAACAGCTTTCCAACAGTGTTTCAGCCCACCACCAATAACCATATTTCAATAAACATACCGCGCAGATATGATAAGATATACGTTAAACTAACTACACAGGCCTCCCCCGCTCTGCTAAGTTCTCACAGGTCGAAGGTTTGAGAATAACACGTCTGCACCCGCTCCACGACATTGTGTTTAAGACCACGAATCAAAGTTGAGGCTGCAGTACTACTAAGTGAGTCACACAATCCGAATCCAGTAAAACATCACAAGATTGCTGAAGCCCCAATGTGGCAGCGCTGCCTCTTTCAAATGCAGTCACGCTTCCATGTAAAATATGGGTGTCTGGCGCGAATGCTGGTCAAATATCCTTCAGCTCACAAGCATGCTGCAATTTAGTTAAACTAAACCCAAAGGTCCTTGGCCATAATCGAGACAATTTGTCGTTGGTGTCATCACTGCGCCCAATTTGGATTGCGTTAGTACCACTTGGCTACGGTTTGATGCGACTTTGCGTTTTTCCGAGCACTTCGGCGAGCTGCCGACCGCTTCCCACTCGTTGCAAACAACGCTAGCACCCCTTCAGCTCACCGCCGGCCATATAAACGGTAGACACAGACAAGCTGTCTCCAGCAGGGCGAGATGTGAGCGCCACGTGCGTCGCCAAGGGGTGACGGTTGCCCCATGTCGTGCGCGCCGCCGTTGTGACATCCGTCTGGGTAATCCGCGGAAATTAGCGCCTGATGGGTTGCCGGTCACGCGTGCGGTGGTCCACCGGCGCTGAGTCCCGCTGGGTGCGGCGGCCACGATTTATGCATTGTCGACCGCGCAGTTATTGGCCAAGCCCCCTGGGCTGAGACCGGGCAACTCCTGGCTTCCCAGGGGCCGTCCGCAGCCCCCGCGATCGGCCGCCGCTGAGAGCAGCCCCAAGTTTAGTCCCGTCATTACGGGCTCGGAGGAGCATGATTTCGTGCTCGCGGCTACTTAGCGGGCTATAATCAGCGCGCATCTGGAGCCGATCGAGGGGGCGCGCAACGGACCGTGTCGCCTGTCGTGTCGGCGCTCGCCGGTTTAATTATCCCGCCGCGTCTTCCGCGAACAGCCGTGCCGCTTTACATGTCGGCTGGATGCGCGAACGCGGTTCGTCGACACCCGCCTAATCAGCTGACCCGGTTTTGCAGGTTCGGTAAGCGCAGCACGCGCGTTCGGAGGTGGCGCACGGTGACGTCGTTGGGTGACGTCATCCACGAGCTGCGGTACTGAGCGCGGCGGAAGCGGCCGGCGCCGGGCGCGAGGGCGGCTGGCGGAGAGGGCGCCCTGTGTTGACGGCAGCGCCGATGGCGAGACCTCCAGAGGCCGGGCCGGTCAGCCGACAGTGTCGCCGGCCTTTCGGCGCGACCTGGCGCCGTCGCGCAGGGCGGGTGGATGGAGGGTCACAGTCTGACCCTACCACCGTACCAGCGCGGGGAGGAGCTTGCTGGCAGCTTGCAGGGAGGAGGAGCTTGCTGGCAGAGAAATGTGCTATGATGGATATTTAGTTCAGTTTTGTTTCCTCTGGGGAGACCCGATGTACGTGAACTCTTGCGCTTGCCGATGTGACTATGGTCTCTTTACTGATGGATTAGACTTTGACACCCATGCTGGTTGGAACAAGAACTCCGCAGGCATATTATCCCCGGAAATTATCTGATGGAAGACATTTTGATTTATCTTTCTGCTGATTGCAGTTTATCATAAGCATGAAACAAGTCCTTGAGGAAATGTATAAACGCACGTTCTTCACGCTTTTATCAAATCCGAATGCCTCTAGGAATCTAGTTTCAATTAGCGATGGTGCTCGTCATGATTCAAACCTTTCTCGCAGCTTTAATGTGACTTCGAGTCAGCAAGACCTCTCTCATTTAAACTCAGTTGTTCTGAGTTTTGTTTACATGCAAAAGAGTTCTCAGGCACATTTTTCATGACATTTGGCATACTTTTAAACGTCAAATCTGGCTAAGGCAGTTTTCTGGCGCTGCCTGTCAGCTTTTCTTCTTTAAATTTTCACTCCCCTTCCTCTATGTTCAATCACGACTAACGAGCATCGCGCATTCTGCTCGGTGCACAGCGTCCACCCAAGGATCGTCCCGACCTATGCACTGTGTAGACGCTCTGATCACGTCACGTGACACGATGACGTCATCGGAGGTCCAGAGGCTGGCCCCGACTCGTGGCGCGCGCGGCGCCACGAGTCGGGGCAGGAGGCTGTCAGGCCGCTGGCATCGTGCGTCGACCGGGATACGTTGCGTCTTTTCACGATGAGATTATTAGTCAGGCGCCTGATTTGGTACCAAATCTGAAGTGTAAAGAAAATAGGAAGGACAGGGACGAAATCAATCGGCAGTCACCAGGTCCCTCAAAACAATATGTAATTGTTACTCCGTAAACGTTCTTGTTTCGCTATCAGGTACCATGTAATCATTTTACGTTTGTGTATTTGATTCCATGGGAACCAACCCATAGAGCAACGCATGCGTTAAGTGATGAAAAGGCACGTGATGAAAATCATATTTAAGAACTTACGGCTGTCTTGATAGCTCTGACGTCAAACCGCGGGCTTCGCTCCTCCCTAGTTCATTTTTCGTGCATTCGCGTTTTTCATTTTCAGATTTGGTGCCGAATTTATTCCCCATCTAACAATGTCATCGTGAAAGCGTCATAAGTGTTATGCTGGTTCCATAGCCGACATGGGATCCATGTTGGGCCCTGGAGAAGCGAGGAAAAGGGATGGTCTCTTCCGTGCACGTAAATAAACATCTTGAACGAATTGGAAGATCAGCTGGGAAAACAGACGTGAGCGTTTGGAGGACGAACGGCGGGGTCATCACGAGCACATATGAAGACCGGGCAGAAATGGGCAGAAGAAAAGTCACCGTGGGCTCGAATGCTAGATTGGGAGAAATCGTGGGGAGCCGGCTTAGATGTTCATCAGCATCGTGGAGGGGGACGGACCGAGACCCACCCGAGAATGTTGGGGAAGACACTGAACTCTCGAGGAAATGCGAGGTGACTATCCGGATGTATGCAGTCCTTTTCGCAGGGGCTGGGAGTGATTGTCATTGTGATGTTATGTTCAAAGTGTGTGGTGGCTACCGATCTGGATCTCTCTGTCAAAAAAGATTGCGTGAAACAATATATGCCGTCATCCTTCTTGCTTCGTGTCTTTTTAACTGAGGAAATGACCCGGGGTTCGGAGACGCTGTCTTCATATCCATACATTAAGCATTTTTAACGAAATGTTTTCCAAGCCTGTTGAAAGGGTGGATGTTAAGGACCGTAAATGACGGCAAGCATTGCATGTCGCGTCAGCCCTGGCCGTTATCATGCTTCCGTGATATTCCAGGTTATGGGCAGAACTTGGCGGCGAAAGTTTACAAAACCCTTTGCCTCCACCTGACCTTTAACGTGGCCGCTGCCACCGGCCGCAGGCCATTCCGGTCAGGTGCAAATAGCGAGCGCTTAAAGTGACTCGAACTTACCCCGTCACGCGTGAGTGGATAGAACGACAGGCTCAAACAAACTGAGCAATCGGAACGAAATACATAATGTCTTGACTAAAAGCGCAGTGCGTTTGCAAGAACAATTTTTTACCGGACGTTTTGTAGTGATGGCTGTGGATCAAAATCCTTACAATAAACAGTTAGCAGCGTCAACCCTGACCCCACCACCAAAGTGGAAAACTGCAGCCTAAAGGACATCTGAAACCGTAAAACGTATTGAAATACGATCGCCTAATTGGCAGTCTGACTTTAACTGACCGTGACGCGTGGAAAACCAAGCTCGATTTCTGGGTCACGAACCGATATGGTCTGCCCTTTTAGTGGGCATGCGTTCAGGGCTCTTTCTATTGCGCTATCTCGTTACCAGCCACGCCACACGCTGGAGTGGGCATGCGAGTTCTTGACGTTTTCCAGAGCTGTTTCATTTCGATACGCTTCCAGCATAGATATGACACCACCCACCTGCTCTGAAACGCGAAAGCAACCATAAGGGAAAGGACTATATGCCGTCTGAAGGAGAATCCCCTATGCCAACATAAGTGCACAGGGGGTTCTTTTTTTGTGTCACCAATTCGCCTCCACTGCTTTGGTTTGTATGGAAGAACGATGTTATCGGGTACACCCCAAGCAATTTTCACAACTAAGCATATTGATATCATTGAGAACGTATCGTTAGCTGTAGCCAATGCCTTTTCGAGGAAGTCGCTTGTTAGCGCTGACAGCAGCTTGCGAACGTAGCGATGGCGGCGGCCATCGTTGATCTTTTTCTTTTTGTATACATTCAGCTGAGGGCTGCTGGTGTACGGGGTTGGACGTCTGGTAATGCTATTCAGTTGATACGCACCGCGATTAATTCATGTTGACCTACTTTGTACTGAGATGAGGCACACGTATTGTGTCGTGTAAATCGGCTGCACTAAGTTCTATGGAGATGCGATTGTTCACGTTGTTTTGGCAGCGGCAACAGGCGGCTGAGATTTCTACACCCTGAAATTAACGACCGAATTCCAAATGCACATGCACCGAATTCACCGTTCGAAATAACAAGGAGCATGCGCTGAAATCGTTGCTGCGATATCGCTGGTACACCAGGCATTTTCAGGCTACCATATTTTTCCGTCTCGAACTACGCAAGAAATCGTCAAGTGCGTACCAGCCTATATCGCCAGCGCTTTCCCTATGCGGACGAGAACGTAGCAGCCAAGATAATGGCCATGTCACTAGCGCGCAGTACTTGCCACGTATAAGCCGGTGCGGTCGTCATTTTGCCCCCTGATTGGTTCAATTTTAAGCATGGTATTTGTTCACGCACAACCATCGATGCGATCGATAATAATAATTACGCGAAACTGTTGCAAGACCCAAATGCACATTTAAGCTCCGAAGTTAACTATATATAGTGGCAAAACTCCTATATGCGTGTATCTGGAAAATCGAAAACACTAGACACACTCTCTTCAAGCCTCAATGTCTGGCAGCACTTTCTGGCTCAACCTGCTCATACAGCGAACCGTCGATGTTTCGACATGTACTCTTCACAAGCTTGCGCTGCAAGCGTTTGCGAGTACAGACAAAGGTGAAGCTTTGAGTGCCGTCTAACTGGGATAGTCTGTTGTAACTTCTTGCCATTTTGGCAAATTTTCTTACCCGATAACTTGCAACATTTTACCTTTTTATCACGGATCCTTTAAATCGGTAGTTTTTTTCTCTCCTGTGCTGAAGGTCCATACGGGTCAGATGGGTGGCAGCAAGATGAAACAGCTCCCAAGAAGACTTGATTGGTTCTGCACATGGTCTGCGTAGAAGATCTCGCTCGAAGACCTGTGTGTGCTTTGTCCATTTAACAGGGGAGGTCTTATCCGTTAGGACGTGTTCGGTTCAAAGACAATCAGATTCCGTCAACAGAAACAGCAGATACGTCCAACCAAGCAGGCGACCAGCTGAGCGTGAGACCGAGCAGGGCCGTGCGACGTCGCCTCCTCATTGAGCGGCACAGCTGGTCGGCATTATCAAACGTAACGCCATCAAGTTGTGAGCCAATGCCGGTCCACGTTAGCAACGGTTCCAACTGTTTAAGAAGCTTCTTTATCAAAAGCAGATCAGCATTGGCATAAAACAAATAGTACCGACCGTGCGTCAATCATGAAGCTGCGGTCAACAAATCAAACCGCCAATTAAGGCCGCAAACAGCAGAGTCACGTTAGTCGCACGGTAGAAGTGTCACAGATGAGCAAAATAGCCGGAGCACGCTGCTGGAGAGCTCAACCGATATCTGACAACATTTGCAAGGCATCCTGATCAGCGGTCGGACCTCATGACTCGATCGACATGGCGGTGGCGTCAGCAACATGTTGTCATACGGCGAGACGACGGCATGCGAGGCCGCTTCACTATCATGCGCCTCTACACGCCACAGGTGCGCGCGCACGCACGGGTCGGCGGTGCACTCGGAGGCTGCCGATCCTCTGGACGAGATCAGTAGCGGCCTCGAGGAGCGATACACCGTTCGCGGCTGGGGGGCTGCGGTATTCGCCGGGCCCGTAACCTGCAGATCGACAAAAGCTTCTGCGAAGCGCAGCGCCTTGCTCATCCACCTAATGAGGGCGGTCGCCGTGTTGCGCGGCCACTACAGCTTCGCTCATCGTTGTCCACCTGGCCGGCTAAGGGGCCACGCAAACGCGCTGCTTGGACTGCAGAGTGGGCAGACCTCTCGACGGCCGGTGGCGATGGCTCGCCTGCAGCGTCTTGTGCATTTCTGCCAGCGAGACTGCGGACGTTTGCTACAGAGAGGCGTTGGTGTACGAAATGTTGTTTCTGGTCCATCTACCAAACAGAACCTAGGCGCAGTTTACTGCCTCATTGTCGCATGCTGTGACGTAGCCCAAGGACAGTCTGAAAGACATGATGTCTTGGGAAATGGCTTTTCATCAGCGTTTTATCAATATTGATGGCAGACTCCGCTTTATAGTTCACCTGTCTGTGGAACGAGGACACAGTGCGGCGGTTCACACCCTACGTGGAACTGAAAGCTCAGAAAATGTTGAAATAAGCTGAAGGCCATTCTCACTGTTGATCATTTACAGGATGTCACATCGTGCAAAATGACTATTAGAGCTTGGCAATCATGGACGCCGGGTCACTGGATCCTAACGGATCTAGCTCCATCCATACACTCATAGTCCACATTGGCAAGGTACAGTTTGATGTCACCCTCAAACAGATCCACTCCCACACTGCCCGCATCGTGGCCTCATCAAAGCGTTTAGTTTTCTCTTTGTAGCCAAACTAAGTATGCAGCACAAGGCCTGAAAACAATACACCTTTTTGCGATCGTATCTGAACAGTCGACAAAATGGCTTCAACCAGTGGGCATATAGATGGCGCCAGTCTTTGCTTAATCCGGGGACAAAATCCCTCTAGGTCGAATCCAGCGGCTTTACCACAACAGTTCAATATGAAGTGTGGTTTCGATAAGTAGCAAAACATTGAACATGGGCAATGAAACGCAGATTGATTAACACAAAAGCGCATAGCAAATAACGAAGAGTTGAACAGCGGTTCGCCATAGGTTGACAGCTGTTTGTCACTAAGTAAACCTGTTCATTTGGTTATCGGCATTTCTCGGAACGTTTCATCAAAGCTACCAACGTTATTTCTAGTAGTGGCCAAACGTATGGATTGCAACTACAGATTTTGATGCGGCGCCAGCGGTTACCAAACTGTCCCGTGCTGCAGTTTTTCATTAACATGTCATGCTCTAGAAGTGTTTCACTTCGTTGAATTATTTGTCTTAACATAGTTCAGGCATTTTCAGTATTGCTGGCGTACATTTGATACGCAGAGGTTCGGCAGGGAAAATAATGATGTCGTTGTCTGTATATGTCAGCTAAGCAGAGACCTATCTTAGCTGAATAAAACGTGAGTCAACTTTATCCGGACCCGTGCATAAATGCGTGTCTCTGGATTGAAAAGTAGCATTGCTGCCACCCATAACCCGTCCATAGCCGTAGACTATCCTTCGCACCGTCACTGTTAACGAGAAGCTATGTGCCCAACTGCTTACAAACCTGTTCCTGATGATATGTTGTGTGTAGATGTTCACACTGTCGGTGTTTTGCCTGCCGAATTTCAGGGCGTTGATGTTTCCATTGTCGATCTTTCACATGCTGATTTTTTGCACCGTAGACATTTGGTGGAGTCAATATTTGGATGCCAGTATTCCACGTTGATATTTACGTTCAACACTTTGTCTGCCCATATCTGGCGTATCAACACTCTGTTCAGATAGCCTATGGCGCATACTACATATTTCAGAACGCGGAGAGCCTCTGACCCTTCCGTCAGACCGTCATACCCAGTCGCCTGCGTGCCTGGTATAGCAGAGCTGCTTCAAGTTAGCATAACTAGTTGCCAACGAAAACATACCCCTGACCCCTATCTCAATATGCTGCAGGTTTGAGTGAGGCTTGAATAATTTCGAAGTCCCAACTAATTGTGCCCAGCCGCTTTAAGCTCATCTCCCATTGGCGTGCTGAATCAGATCGCTGTGCACTGAAGGGCTTTGTTTTCGCAAGCATGTCAGTGTACAATCCTCATTAGACACGTTAACTGGGATCGAGCGGATTGGGGCAGGAGT